CAGATTTGTTTGTTCTTCTAGCAGCTCTAAAAGTCCATGGTACTTTTAATATTTTCCTCCAGTACCATAACGCAAATGCATCAGTTCTTCCTTATTCATTGTCTAACTTTCACATGCATATGAAGCTAATGAAAATACCATGGCTTGGGTCAGGCACACCTTAGTCTTCAAGCTGACATCTTTGCCCTTGAACACTTTAAAGAGGTCTTGTGCAACAGATTTGCCTAATGCATTATGTCATCTGATTTCTTGACTGCTGCTTCCATGAGTATAGATGGTTGACTTGAACAAAATGTTTTTAACAACTTCAATATTTTTTCCATTTATCTTGATGTAATTAGTCCAGTGGTGAGGATTTTTGCTTTTTTTTATATTGTGCCTATTCCAAGGAGAGGTGACCCAGTGGAATACAGGAATCATTAGACAATATCATTAATATTGCATGCAAGTAAAATTATGACAAAGATTTTGGAGGTCATTACACTGAGTGAAATAAGCCAATCACAAATGAGCAAATATTGTCTGAGACACTACTGTAAAATGTCAAGAAAAGATTTTCACACTAAAAGGAACATTCTTTGGTGGTTACCAGGAGTGGAAACGGAAAGGAGAGCAGATTAGTAGCTAGAGAGTACACACATATAAAGATACCTACGACTTCATTTGATTGAATCAATAAAATGGAATCAATAAAAAAATGACACCAAACATTCCTCACATAGCCCTCTCTACTCAGCTGGGTTCAGTAATTCACTGTATTGGCCACACAGAACTCAGTCATCATATGCAGAGTTACGGGGTTTCTTAGGAAAAGTTGACAGGTTACAATGCAGAGCAGAATTTCATTCAGTGCAGCTCTTCCAATCAGACAATCTCTCCTCTGCTGTGCCCACAGGCAGATCTCTCTCTGCCTGGGCAGTGTTGCAAAGCTCTGTTGTTAAGTGTCATGAAGTTGGTTCCAACTCACAGCGACCCTGTATAGGGTTTCTAAAGAGCAGCTGATGAGGTTGAACCACCAACCTGGTGGTTCAAACCAACCTTGGGGTCCAATGCTTTCTCCCACAGGGGCACACCAAGACAAAAGCTCTGTAAGGCTGCTGATTAATGCCCACAGGACACATTACTCCACCATATGCCTCAGCCTGAAGGGACAGCTCTGTGAGTCAGCAAACCTAGCTCCTCCAGGTAAATGCTGGAGGCACCCGACTCTGCAAGCAAGTCCAAAACCACTCAGTTTTACTTGTTCCATGGGTCAGAAAGTCCACCACTCTGTCTTGTGCTCTCACTCTTGCATCTGTTGTTGTTGCTCCTGTCACTCCTTCAGTGCTACAGCTTTCTGTCCCTAGGTTGAGGAGGTTCAATATGCAGGGATCTCAGGGTTCAAAGCGCCAGCTACATTCCTGGTAATTCATCTTGGATGGTAATGAGATCCCCTTTCCTGCTTCTGAGATGAGTCATTTTAAACCCACATTAGAGTTCCAAGGTTTTACAATCACAATGAACTCTGTTAACAATCACAACTGAAGCATATTATCCTATCTGCATCTTCTCCCACCTTTTATTAAACCTAGACCTATCAGGAAAAAAGTTGTGTGATGGGAGTTACAAGGACTATGGGTAGAAGACCCATATGAAGTAATCCACTGTTGTTGTTGTTGTCAGGTACCATCGAGTCAGAACTGACTCATAGCGACCCCATGCACAGCAGAACGAAACAATGTCCGATCCCGGGCCAACCTCACTACCGCCGCCACACTTGACGCCATCAATGATGCCACCTGGCTGATCCATCTCGTTGGGCGTCTTCCTCTTTTTCTCTGACCCTCCACCTTACCCAGCACGACATCCTTCTCCAGGGACTCTTCTCTCCGGACAATGTGTCCAAAGTATGAGAGACGAAGCCTAGCCATCTTGGCCTCCAAGGAGCACTCTGGCTGCACTTCTTCCAAAACAGATCTATTGGTTCTTTTGGCAGTCCTTGGCACTTTCAGTATTCTCCTCCAACACCACAACTCAAAGGCATCAATTCTTCTACGGTCTTCCTTATTCACTGTCCAGCTTTCGCATCCACTGTACTGAAGCTGATATATTAAATTCTACACTTGAAAATAGCAATGCCAAATAGTTCATCTGAATATATACCAGGTAAAGAATTGGATATTTATCTATAAATTAATGAATATTCACAATCACCTTTAATGTAGGTTGTTTACTCTCTTAGAACAGATACGAATGAGGTTCTAAAAGGTTAAGTATTATCTGTGAATATCTGACAAGTAGGCAGGCAGGATTCAAAACAATGTCTTTCTTATTTACAAAGTTACATGACCCATATTTCTAGTCAAGGAGTCATGCTACCTTTCCCTAAATCAGAAATGCTTCAGATCCAAAAGACGCAGGAGTGCTTGGCCATATGGGATGGGGAAGAATTGTTGACTGTCACTTTCTCATAGAGAAATCCAAATCCAAGTTGCCCTTAGGACTCTGTACAATATTTTAGAAGTAAATACAATGTATTTAGAAGTAAATACAATGTGTGAAAAAGAGAAGTCAGGCAATGAGTTAACACTCATTGTTGCTCAAAAATCTTCAGCAAATTCACTATTTCAAGAAATGTACAGGGCTGAATCCTTCTATTAAAATACAAAACAAGTGGTTCTGAAGTCAGAAAAAGAAAATAGAGGTCACTCAGGTCACCATGAGTCAAAATTGACTCAAGGGCAACTGGTTTGGTCTGATATACCAGGCACTGTAAATTCTTAATGGGGCCGGTGGAGAGCAATGTGATGCTTGTGTTGTAAAGGTGATCAAAGAGCCTGGAATCTTTAACTTGGCCTAAAAACTAGCTATGTGCACTTGCCTTTTTGGTGACCTTATTCTTAAGCAGTATTTATTTAGATTTTAAACTCAAACTTATTCAATTAATTTCTTCTAAAATAATTATTCTCTTAGAATTGAGATTAGTATTTAGGTTAATCAAAGTGTCTAATGGTGAATGCTGTTGTTAAGTGTGGTTGAGTTGGTTACAACTCATAGTGACCCAGTATAGGGTTTCTGAGGAGTGGCTGGTGAATTTGAACCACACACCATGCGGTTCAAACTGCCTCTGAGGTCCAGTACATTATCCCACGGTGCCACACCAGGGATCCAAATGACAAACAGCGGCGGGTTACTTAGTAATTTTCTTACCTTCGACAACAATGCAAAGAAAATACACAGAAATGGAAAGTTAATTGTGGCATGATAAACTTTCATGGAGTCCTGGTGTGGTATTATAGGATAAGCACTGGGCTGCAAGGTTAGTTTGAACTGCAAGGTCGATGGTTCAATCTCACCAATCACGCCTCAGTAACCCTACACAGGGTCACTATTAGTCAGAACTGACTTAATGGCACTTGGCAACAGCCCTTCATAGCATGAATGTTTGGTTTCTCCCTCTCTCCCAGGCTGTGCAGAGGAACCCAAACCTCCTCCAGAATCTGCACTGGAGCACTGCTGAGAAGCTGAGGCAGAGCTGAGTTGATCTTTTCACTGTCATCCTTTGGGTTCCACCATTAATCAGCAGTCAGGCCCATAGTTTGAAGTGATGCTTGCCTGTGTCTCAACAATCTTTTCCTACTCCCTCTGATGGACCATCTCCTGGAACTAATAATTCCCTACCTATCAGCTCAAGACATTCATAAATGCCATTTGCTCCTTTTTCTACCCCCAAAGGGAAGGATGGAAGACATGGGCTCCTTGATGGGTGACCGTGGTAAAGACTTGAAAACTCTGTGCGTTTATATTAATGACAGCTGATATCGATAAAAACCTTGGTCAAAAGATGGCAGGGTTATTTGAAATCATTCACTGAGCCAGGCTAGCAGAGGAATGCCCTGCCCTGTTACAAAGCGTTAAGGAGCGGCAGAGAACATTGCAGTTGCAAGAGAAGCTGAAGAACATTTAGTCCCACTGTTTCACATGAGAATAGAAAGGGGATATGACTTACTTAGAGTCAAACAACTGATTCACAGCTCAATTAGAACCAGAAATAAGATGTCCTGAGTGAGTTTGATTCTTTCTCTGCCACATAGCACAGGCATTTCCACCTTGGGAGCTTCCTTTAAAGGTGAATTTTTTGCTGACCCTTCCCCAGGTAGTAAATTGGTATGACTCCATTGAATGGTCTAATTCTTACATTCTTAGAAATCCAAATTCATTTAATAGCTCACAGTGATATCAAAGTAAAGTATTTGTTAGATTAAATAAATTATTGTTATAAGGTACACTGAACACTTTTTACAATGCCCTTTTTTTCTGATTATGAAAAAACCATAACTACTCAATTTTTCTTTCACATAGATTGTGGGACTGCTCAGAAGAGCCCACAGGTGACTGAAATCGAGAGACAAAATGTTTTTAATTTTGTTGAAGGGAGTCCAAGCATCTTTGCCTATGTGAAATTAGAGTTGTATGTTCCTTATAGCTATGCCAGCATTCTTCTGCATATCTTCCATGATGACCTCATGGAAGTGGGGGTCATCAGACCACGGCATCATCCTACCACTAAGCATTTCTCCAATGCTCTCTCTGTAGCTTATATCCCGCACAACAATGTATCTTCGCGTGTTGCAGGGGCTTCACACCACTCGCCAGTATTACACCGATGGAACTCAACAGAGTACATTTATTATCTGCATTTGCTCTCCAGGAATTTCTGTTTCCCTTTATAATTTCTGTATCCATAGAAAGATACTTTCTCCCCCCCTCCCCCCACCCCCACCCCGACCCAGAAACACTAGTTTTTAACACCACTTTATGTTTGTCAGGATGTATGTAAACCATTTGTTTGTGTTAGATAACTCTAAAGACTTCTGGAGAGGCATTGGCGGAACATTCAAATAAAATCTGTGTTTATAGGATAGTCAGATATTAACATGTACTTTTATAAATAAAAACATATGTTTCTCATAATATTGACTCCTGATTAACATTTTATACTCTTATTAGCATTTTACACATTACTTCTGTTCAACCAAGCTCAGAACTTGGTGAATAAGTTGAGTAGTAGGTTGGGTGATCGGGTAACACAACGGGAGCTTTTTCTCCAAGGCTGGTATATGAATAAAGTACCTGCAAATCATAAAAAAAGAAACAAAATAGCTTTAAAAACAAGAATCTTCACATTGGTGACATCAATTTGTTCAGACTCACTGGAAAAGGATTGTTGTTGGGTGTGGGAGTCTAAGCTCCAAGACTCAGCCAGCATTTTCAATTCCCTGACTTGTGACCTGTAAAATCTCTAATAAGTGTGCCTTTCAGCTCACTGAAGCACTTGACTTCAGGAAAGGAAGTCAATTTCATTAATAATGTAGAAGTTATCAAAGCATTAATAAGAAAGCCAGGCATATCCTCACCAGTGTGGGCTGAGGCGCCTGAGTTTTGGTTCCTTAGGTAATGCACATTAGAGAGTTAAGATGAAAAGGGTCACACTGTGGTGCCAACGAGGGACAAATCAAGAGGAAAGGGATAGGCCTCATCCTCGTGGCTTCAGTAAAATGATAGGAAATGCCAAAGGAAGAGACAAAAGTGAGAAGACTTTCAGCAATTCTCAACCCTCGATGAACACTAGAATCATCTAGAGTGTTGATAAGAAGTATGAACACCCAGAATTTCGACACATGAGATCTAGGTACCGGTATTTTTTAATATTCTATGTTCCTCAGATGGTTCTAATGCACAGCAAGTTGAAAATCACTAGTTTACAAGAGTGACCACAAATGAAATGCCCACAGCACTGGACTTTGAACCACAAGGTCAGCAGTTCAAACCCACCAGCTGCTCCTCAGAAACCCTTCACAGGGTCACTATGAGTCAGAACCGACTCAATGGCACTTAACAACAACAACAACATAAATTAGTGAGGTAGGGTAATAGTAGTAGAGGTGGAGGCAGTGGGAAACTATACAGAACATGCCCCATTTAAGAATTTCTACACAAATTGTTCAAGGAGCTCTGGCAGCGTAGTGGTTATGAATCGGGCTGTGAACCGCAAGGTCAGCAGTTTGAAACTACCAGCTGTTCCATAGGAGAAAGATGAGACTTTCTGCTCCCATAAAGATTTATAGCCTCGGAAACTCTGTACAGGGACGCTATGAGTGGGAACAGACTCCATGGCACATAACAACAACAACAATGCAAATAGTTCAGTAACATTGATTACCTTTTCTACAATGCATCAATGCTGTAACTAATTTTTTTAATTGGGTTATATAAGTACATGCTACAAAATGGGTGTGCCTTGGAAAGATTATGCTAAGTGTGATAAGCCAGACATAAAGGGCCACCTAATGAATGATTCCACTTATATGAAGTATAAATGTCCAAATCACTGCCAAAATCGGTAAATCCAGAGAGGAAACAGATGAGGGAGCTGATGGAGGGGAGTGGGGAGCGATTGCTCAATGAGTACAGGATTTCTTTCTCAGGGTGATGAAAATATTCTGAAACTCGATGAATTGTATGCTTTTTAGATGATTAAAATGGTGAATTTTATGTTATATTTTTACTTCATCAAAAAATAAGGAGGAATGTTGGACCAAGGGATCGTTAGCTTTAAAATTACTTTAGGAGTTATTTTTGGTGTAAAGTTTTAAAGATTATCTAAAGGCATATCTCAAGGTTTCATCCGACTGTCTTGGCTCCAGGAAATTTGGAATGCGTGAGAATTTGAAAGTTTGTTCTGCATCCGCCCTCTCCCTGTTTCAATCAGGATTCTTCTGTAGACTCTTTTATGAAAATGTTCAGTAATAGTAGTGGGATACCATCCCCTTCTTCTGTAGACAGCTGTTCATGGAGGCAGTTAGTCACACATTCCACATCCCCTGACCCCTTCTATTCCTGACTCTTTCTTACTCTGCTGCTCCAGGCTAATAGAGACCAGTTGCTATGCCTTGGATAGCCACTTACAAGCTTTTAAGACCCCCAGCGACTATGTATCATGTTTCATGAAACCATGACCCTAAATCTCCAAACCAAGAACTCAAATCCCAAGAGATTTTTGGTTGTGCATAATCAGCCTCAGCAACTTCTTTCTTTTTTTGTGTCATTTTTGTAAATATGTCTATCACCTTGCTTGTGCCAGTGCAAATTTTAAATGTGTTCAACGTCTTGACATAAATTACAATAATTGTCTGTGCAACTCTACCTATAATCAAGTCCATCCTTTTCCTCGTGTATCCCCTCCCTCTGCCCTGGTAACCACTAATAAAGTTACTTCTCTCTAAAAAAAAAAAATAATAATCAGGAGGTAGTAGGGAAAAAACTGGGTTATGAGAATCAACACAGGGTGTGCCATATGAAAACCCTTTATGGGAACTGGAATGGAAGCTAGAGTGCATAACTGTTGTTAAGTGCCATCGAGTCAGTTCTGACTCACAGCAATCCTATATATGTGGTTTCCAAGGAGTGGCTGGTGAAATTTGAACCACCGGCCTTGTGGTTCAAACCAAACTGTCATTCCAGAGCTTTATCCCACAGCACCAACCAGGACTCCGTGTAGGAAAAACAAGGCCTGCAAATCAGGTTTACATGTTTTCAAAGGCCAGTCAACATAAGGTTCCATACCCTATTATATATATCTGTATCCGAGCTAGTGACAAACCTACACCCAATGCACCTTTGTATCCTTGATCCGACACAACAAGGCAATCTTTTTCACCCCTTACTGTCAAGCAGTCTGACTCATAGTGACCTTATAGGACATACTACAAATGCTCCATAAGGGTTCTATGGCTGCAAATCTTGATGGAAGCAGATTACCACACCCTTCTCCTGAAGGTGTGAACTCAGCCACTGGTGAGTTCAAACCACCCACCTTTTCGTTAGCAGCCAAGTGCTTACCCACTGTGACACCAAGGCTCCTTTGTTTCTTAGTAGGTCCAAATGCAGGGTTTTATCACTAAGTCACTTGACTTTTCAAGCCTCAAAATAAAAGCAGAAACCCCTGGGATGCAGGAGAACAGGCCAGCTGATGAAACCAATGGTTGCTATCGTATTTTATTACTGTTCTGCTACTGAGAGTAAGAGAGCAAATGGAACAAAAACCCTTAACTGTGTTCATTAATTGTTGTTCATTTATTAATGGGTCCTTCCCAAATGACTCAGTTGAATTCACAATCCTTAATCTATCATCCCTGTCGGTATGATTCTGTCTCTTAATGAGTCATAGCAGGTTAAAACCTGACCAGGACTGTGAGATGCTGGCTGTAATTGAGATAACAAGTGAGAAACAGTTCTTCAAAAACAGTTCAAGGTTTCACTTGCCTTGTCTGGCCTGGAAATATACTTCAAATGGTACTGGTCCATAGAGTTTCCCCAAATCCTAACCCATATTAAAAACAAAAGCAGAACTTGTCATCCCCACTCAGTTTTCTAAATATTAGACTGTATGTTTGAATTGCAAGAAAATCAGAAAATGAGTGGAATTTTGCTGCAGATTAGATCCTGAACTTTTTCTTACCTGAATTCTTCTCTGTAGTCATTTCTAATATACTCAGCTAGAGTCTTGCTGTACTGCAGGCAGCTCTTGAGGATGGAAAACTGCTGGTATAAAAGAACTGCTTGGCATGGACTTAGCAGCTGAAGTGAAGCTGAAAGCCCCTTCACCACTTTTTTCACAATATTGGCCAGAAAAGTAATCTTGGAAAAATTAGGAAAATACAGTTACTTGAAAGTGACACATCACCCATTAGAACACCTATTTCAGCCTCAACTACAGATCTATGAAATTATCAATCTAGGCTGATGCCCTTGCTGTCCTTTTACCAATGTGCTTGCATTATTTCACATCAAAATGCTACCCAGAGAACACTAGAATATAGTCCAATTGCCCTTCTACAAGCAGGGTAAGAAAGAAGAGCAATGACTTTCAAATACGTCTGACTCTGAAAGTGGAAAGAGAACACGAGAAGCAGAAGTGGGGACAGAAGGTAAGCTCAGAAAGGTCTACAGACTCCTCCACTGGGAAATATGGTTTTTCTTTTCGACCTGTAAAAGCAAATGGTCCATAGGGTCCCTACAAGGCTGTGGGCCTCAAATTTAAGTACACATAAGAATCATCAATGGAATCTACTAAGAATGCAGACTCCCAGGCCCTACCCTCTAGATGCTTGCCAAAAATAATCCTGATGAATTTGTTTCCTGGAGCATATCTTGAGAAGCATTACTTTGAGAAAGCAAAGAAAACCAGACCTGACACAAGCAAGTGATGTCATGTTAGCTGGGGTTCTTATCAGGAGGCCATACAGTGTACCTTCTCAGAGAGAAATTAAAATGAAAAAAGTAACAAAAATGTAGGGACTTCCAAGTAAGATGGCAGACTAAACAGCAAGATGGCGAACTACACAGACAGTCTACAATGTTGTTGTTGTTGAGTTGGTATCTACTCATAGCGACCTTATGCACAACTGAATGAAACACTGCCTTGTCCTTCGCCAACCTCACAATCACTGCTACACTTGAGACCATTGCTGCTTCCACTGTGCCAATCTATCTCATTAGGAGTCTACCTCTTTTTCATTGATCTTTCACTTTCCCAAGCATGATGTCCTTCTCCACAGACTGGTCCCTCCTGATAATTGTCTGAAGTATGAGAGACAAAATCTGGCCATCCTGGCTTCTAAGGAGTATTCTGGCTGTACTTCTTCCAACAGATTTGTTTGTTCTACTGGCAGCCAATGGTACTTTTAGTATTCTCCTCCAACACCATAACTCAAATGGATCAATTGTTCTACGACCTTCCTTATTCATTGTCCAACTTTCACATGCATATGAGACGATTGAAACTACAATGGTTTGGGTCAGGCAAACCTTAGTTCCCAAACTAGTATCTTTTATCTTGAACACATTAAAGGGGTCTCCTGCATCAGATTTGCTCAAAGCAATACATCTTTGGTTTCTTGACTGCTGCCTCCATGAATGTTTATTGTTGATCCAAGCAAAATGAAGTCTTTGACAACTTCAATCTTTTCTCCATTTATATGTACGTTATTTATTGGTCCTTCTGTGAAGATTTTTGCTTTCTTTACATTTAGGTGAAACCCATGCTGAAGGCTGTGGTGTTTGATCTTCAGCAGTAAGTATTTTAACTTCCCTTTGCTTTCAGCAAGCAAGGTTGTATTATCTGCCTATCACAAACTGTTAATGAGTCTTCCTTCAGTCCTGATGCCATGTTCTTCTTCATATAATCCAGTTTCTCAGATTATTTCTTCAGCATACAGACTGACTAAATATTGCGAAAGAATATAACCCTGGCATACACCTTTCCTGATTTTAAACCAACCCGTGTCCCCTTGTTCTGTTCAAATGACTGACTCTTGGTCTATATGAGGTTCCTCATGAGTACAATTAAGTATTCCGAAATACGAATTCTTTGCAATGTTGTCCACATATTGTCATGATCTACTCAATGTAAAGCGTTTGGCAATAAAGCATACGCAAACATCTTTCTGATACTCTTTGCTTTCAGTCAAGTTCCATCTGACGTCAGTAATGATATCCTTTGTTCCATGTCCCTGTCTGAATCCACCCTGAACTTCTGGAGGTTCCTTGCCAATGTACTGCTGCAGTTGTTTTAAAGTTATCTTTGGCAAAATTTTATTTGCATGCAATATTAACGATGTACCTTGGACTTCTTCCTCCAGTACCACTGGCTCTTGATCATATGCTACCTATTGAAATGGTTCAACACTGACCATTCCTTTTTTGGTACAGTGACTCTGTATATTTCTTCTATCTTCCTTTTTATTTTTATTTTTTAAATGTTTTATTGTGGATTATGTGATAGTTTACATGAGAGGACATTAGCTTTACATTCATCCTATCATATATCGTTTCATTGCCATGATTACAATCCCCTCCATGCATCATCAAACAACCAAAGGGTATACCCCTCAAGCTTGCTCCTTGGTCGTCAGCACACAGCCCCTCTCCCTCTCTGGGTTTAGATTCCCCAGCTGCTCCATATCGCCACATCATTGCCTCTGCCTCAATCTCTGGCGTCACTGTTTCTCTGGGTAGGGTCCTGCACTCCGCTCTTCACCCTGGATGGTCCCACTCCTGGACTGCAAATTCAACCCCTTCCCTCCTTTTGCTACAAAACGTCTACCTTTACATTTCGGACCCTTGCAGTTAGTCCTGATAACAATGATTCCCTATTGTACCACAAGAGCTCTATCCCCATCTCCTTTCATCAGACCCACACCGACAGATTGGATACTACTCAGTGGACATTTGACCTTCCTTTGCGCCCTCTGGATCTAGGCTCCCTCTTGAAAACTTGTAAACCAGTCACTTCTTGCCTTTGTAGCCCCTGCCCATTTTGGGTAGCCAATGTCTAAGTTGCCCATCCCTGTCTACATTGTGTATCGAGGGGGCGGGAATGGTCCTCACTATAGAGATTTGTTCCCTCTTTTGAGCTACTGCATTCATAGGTATAGGTCAAGTTCATCAAATTGTATCAGATTACTCTTTTTTTCCTCTTCTTTCTTCTTCTAGTTGAGTTCTGATCATCCACCCATTGAAGCCAGGTCAAGGGGGTATTATCCCCTTGTGCATATGCCCTCACATTCTTATTACTGGACGCTTCACTCTCCATTCTAGTCCTCTGTGGTTATGTCACTGACTCTGGGCCCAGGAATTCCCAGATCTTGCCATACTGCTGGCCAACCAAGTTTCCACCTGGGTTCACAGGAGTCTATTGAACATGATAGGACTTAGCTTGAAGCTTCATTATTGTTTTTCCCTCATTTCCCCTTATTAGTGACCAACGTGGTCACCAGTCAGAGCGCATGTCTGCTCATGTATTTCCCTTGAGTCTTAGTCTTAGAAGGGGATTTGCCTTGAGGAGATCTGACCACTTACCTTGAAGTCTCCTGAGTGAACAACTTGCTTGTTCTTGTAGTAGTCAGTCAGACTGCCATTATTGTTTTTTATTTTTCTTGTTGGTCTTTCCTTCAAGACGTATATTCTGTTCTTCTAGCCATTCCAGGCTGGTCTGCTTGTCTTTCAAGTGGAGATTTCCCACCTCAGAAGAATCTGGATGCGGTTCAGAATTCCACTTATGGTCTTACGCAATACAGAGGCTCCACAGGAAGTCTCCTTCACTGGGCATGTTGTAGCCCCATTTTAGGTATTCCAATCAGTTATAGGCAGAAGACAGACTTACAAGCTTTCTATGGTGATATTCTGGCACTTCCTTTCTCTCTCCCTCAAGTGTCAATTTTATAATGATATGCCAGGGAAATCACACCTTGTTTACAAGCTACTGGATAAATGTTATGTTGTTAGGTGCCATCGAATCAGTTCCGACCATAGCGACCATATGTAGAACAGAATGAAACACCTCTGGTTCTGCACCATCCTATAATTGCTGTTATACTTAAGCCCACTGTTGCTGCCACAGTGCCAGTCCATCTCATTGGAGGTCTCCCTCTTTTTCTCTGTCCTTCTCCAGGGACTGATCTCTTCTGATACTATATCCTAAGTATGAGAGACAAAGTCTGGCCATCTTGGCTAATAAGGAGCATTCTGGATGTACTTCTTCCAACACAGATTTGTTTGTCCTTCTGGCAATCTATGATACCTTTACTATTCTTCTCCAGCACTCTAACTCAATTCTACAGTCTTCCTCATTCATTGTCCAACTTTCACATGCATATGAGACTATTGAAATATAATGGCTTGGGTCAGGGGCACCTTAATCCTCAAACTAACATCTTTCCTCTTAAACACTTTTAAAAGGTCTTGTGCAACAGATTTGCCTAATGCAATATGTCATTTGATTTCCTGACTGCTGCATCCATGAGTGTTGTTGGTTGATCCAAACAAAATGAACTCGTTGACAAGTTCAGTCTTTTTCCATTTATATGGATATTATTTATTGCTCCAGCGGTGAGGATTTTTGTTTTCTTTACATTGAGGTTAAACCAATACTAAAGGCTGTGGTCTTTGACCTTCATCAGTAAGTATTTTAAGTCATTTTCTCTTTCAATAAGCAAGGTTGTATCATCTGCATATCACAGGTTATTAATGAGTCTTCCTTCAATCCCGATAACACATTCTTCTTCATATAATCCAGTTTCTCAGATTATTTACTCAGCATACAGGCTGAATAAATATGGTGAAAGAATACAACCCTACCACACTCCTTTCCTAATTTTAAACTATTCGGTGTTTCCTTGTTCTATTTACTCGCATGGGGTATCAATGATACTGTCAGATGATTTCATTGTGAAAATGTCAACACTAGCAAGGCAATCTATAGCTATAATACAATCCCAATTCATATTCCAACAACATTCTTTAAACAGATGGAAAAACGAATAACTAACCCTATGTGGAAAGGAAAGGGACCTTGGATAAGCAAAGCATTATTTAAAAAGAAGAACAAATTAGAAGGTCTCTCACTTTCCAATTTCAAAACCAATTACACAACTGTGGAAGTCAAAACAGCCTGGTTCTGGTACAATGAAAGGCACATAGATCAGTGGAATAGAAATGAGAATGCAGAAGTAAATCCATTCATCTAAGCTCAGTTGCTCTTCAACAAAACACCAAAATACATTAAATGGGGAAGAGATAGTTTCTTCAACAAATGGCCTTGGCAAAACTGGAAATCTATTTGCAGAAGAATGAAACAAGATCTGTATCTCACACCATATACAAAAATGAACTCAACATGGATTAAAGACCTAAACATAAAACTGAAACCTATAAAAATCATTAGTGAAAAAAATAGGGACAAACTTAGTGGGGTCTGATACTGGCATAAATATACTATGAAACATTACCAAAACCTCCAACAGCAGAATACAAAATAGATGACTGGAACCCTCCTAAAAATTAGACACTTATTTACAACAAAAGATTTCACACAAAAGTGAAAAGAAAACCCACAAATTGGGGGAAAAAATTGGCAATAACATATCAGACAAGGGACTACTGTCTAAAATCTATAGAACACTTCAAATGTCAACAAGAAAACAAATAATTCAATTTAAAAATGGGCAGAGGACATGAACAGAAACTTCACTAAAGAAGATATTCAGGTAGCCAACAATCATGGAGAAATACTCAAGATCATTATCCATTAAAGATATACAAATGAAAACAACAATGAGATAGCTTACCCCAGCATTGATAACAAAATTCAGAAAAACAGAAAACAAAAATGTAGGCGAGACTAGGACCCTCCTACACTGCTAGTGATACAATAAATGGTACAATCACTGCAGAAAACCATCTGGTGCGTCCTCAAATTTTGGAAGCAGAAAAACTTACAACCCAGAAATTTCTCTACTTGGTATATATCTTCAAGAAATGAAGAGCCATGACACGAATAAATATATGCAGAGCATGTTCACTGCAGCACTATTCATAATAGAAAAAAGATAGAGACAGCCTAAATGCCCATCAATGGAAAAATGATCAAACAAACTTTGGTACATATACACAATGGTATACTATGCAATGTTGAAAAATAACAATGAATCTGATAAACACCTCATAACATGGATGAACCTGAGGACATTATGTGAAATTTGTTAATCACAAAAGGACAAATATTGTGTAAGACCACTGTTGTAAAAAGTTAAGAAAAGGTTTTCTTGCTCAAAGAACTGTTCTATGATGGTTACCATGAATGGGAGGGAAGGGAAAATTATTCACTGGATACAGGGTGTTGTTGCTGTTATCAACTGCCGTTGAGTCAGTTCTGACTCATAGCAACCCTGTATAAGGCTTCCAAGGAGCAGCTGGTGAGTTTGAACTACCAACTTGTGGCTCAAACCAACTTTGCATTCATATGCTTAACCTACAGTGCCATACCAGGACTCCAGGGTAGAGGGTAGATACATGTAACTTGGGTGATGGGGAAGGCAATATACAAGAGTTGTTGTTAGTGCCATTGAGTCATTTCCAACTCATAGCAACCTTGTATAGTGTTTCTGAGGAGCAGCTGGTGAGTTTGAACTGTCGACTTTGTGGTTCAAACCGACCTTGTGGTCCAGTGCTTATTGTATAGCACTCTATATAAAAGAAGGAGGTTGACTAAGAAAAAGGAAAAATAACAATAATGTAAAGTTATTGGGTCCCTGCTTTTCACAAAAGAAATGCTGTCATTTACAATGGAATCAAATAATAAAAGGCAAGATCAATGGATTGCAGAAGTCCTCATTTTACATTTTCAAACTACTACAATAAATGTAGAGCTATGCTATTTCTTGGGTCTATACTGGGTCGCTATAAGTCAGAACAAACTCAATGGCACATAACAACAAGAATACTGCTATTTCTTAGCTTGTGTAAAAAAAGAAAAGAATGCTGCTGTGCTTTCAAGTTGTAATAATAGGCCGCACTGTAATTAGTATCACAAATGTTTTGCCTTATCTATTAAAAGATGTTGCTATGGTCCTTCCTGAGTCAACTTGACAGCACTTAACAACAACATGGTCCTTCCTGGTTGTGGCACTGTAGGATAAGCACTAGGTCGCAAGGTTGGTTTGAACCACAGGTCAGCAGTTCAAACTCACCAGTTGCTCCTTGGAAACCCTATACAGGGTTACTATGAGTCAGAACCAACTGGATGACACTTAACAACAACAACGGCTCTTCCTGTGGTTTGAAGTGAGTTTTTCCCAGATTGTGGCTGTCAAACACAGATTGAATTTAGAGAACCTGAGACAGTGGAACAAATTTAATCCAAATGGAAATTAAATTCCTAACTTTAGTCCTTGCTCTAACCAACTGAGATAGTCAATCAGTTGACTGACAGGCAGGTACATTCAATGATCCCTAGTTTCCTGGCTTGCATATTTCTCTCACATGGTCTGTTTCTACCCAAACTCTTTAGAATTGGGCTAATAGTGAAGCTTCCAACATGTTAGTGATTCTGGAGATTCCAAATCTGTCTCTATCGCCCTTCATCTTGATCAACTCCCTGGTCACAAACTAGCATCATAAATAACTCAGTTTCTTAGGTGAACCAAACCTGTTGTTGTTTTTCGTGCCTTTGAGGCAATTCTGACAGAGCAGAACTTAAACCTATAACTTAAACCTATAAAAAAACACCCCATACAACTTGGACATTGGCTACCCAAAATGGGGGGCGGGGGGCTACAAAGGCAAGAAATGACTGGCTTACAAGCTTTCACAATGGAACCTAGATCCAGAGGGCCTGGAGGAAGGTAGAATCTCCAGTGAGTAGTATTCAATCTGACTAGCCAGGGCTGATGCAAGGAAATGCAGACGGGTCTCTTGTGATACAATAGTGAATAATTGTTATCAGGACTGATTGTGAGGGTTGGAAATGTAAAGGCAGACATTTTATAGCAAGGAGGGGAGTGATTAACTTTTCAGTCTAGGAGAGGAGGTCCCTAGGACCATCAAGGGAGAAGAGCAGAGAGCAGGACCCTACCCAGAGAAGCAGTGATGCCTGAAATGGAGCCAGAGATGATGATGTGGAACGATGGAGCAGCTGGAGACTTTAGATCCAGAGAGGGAGAGCGACTGTGTGCTGAAGACCTGAGGGGTACGGGAGAAGGATTGCATGGAAGGGATTGTAACCATGGCAATGAGAGATGACATACGATAGAATGAATGTAAAACTAATGCTCTCCCATGTAAACTATCACATAATTCACAACAAAACATTAAAAAAAAAAAAATTCTTACAGAACAACCCTTGATAACCTTGAAGAATGTGCAGGTGCACTGTTGTGAGGGGAAAAAATTCCTCAGTACAATTTTCCTGGCCTTTTCCTCATCAATGCAATTTACAATTTTTTTTGAAAATTCTTCATAATAAATCCCTGTCTCCTTGGAGAAAATCTATCAATATTTCCCCTTTGGAATCCACCCCCAATAAGCAGTAGCCAGAACCTTCAGAGCTGACCTCTCTGCCTTGAGCTGACCTCTCTGCCTTCAGCACATCCCTTTGGAAGTCACTCTTTTGTTTGGAACCTTTTTTGAAGTATCCCTAAAGAGACTAAGTCTAGTGAAAGAACTTGTCTATAGTCATTCACTAATCACATAGACATGCTTAAATACGTTTTATTTTGAATAAACCTGTGTATGTATGACCTGGGGAAAAACAACAATAACAAAAAAAACCACCCCATAGCATTTTTTGTTTTGTTTCTTTAACTGGAGCAGATCTTTAGGTCTTTTCTCCTGAAGAGTGACTGCTGAGTTCAAGCTGCCCATCTTTTGGTTGTTGTTAAGTACCGTGGAGTCGGTTCCAACTCATAGAGACCCTGCATAGGGTTTCCGATGCTGTAAATCTTTAGGGAAGCAGAAAGTCTCATCTTTCTCCTGTGGAACAGCTGGTAGTTTTGAACTACCAATCTTGAGGTTAGCAGCCCGATTCGTAACCACTACGCTACCAGAGCTACTCTATCTTTTGGTTAGTAGTTGAGAATTAACATTGTGCTTCCAATGCTCCTTGAATCAACTCTAGAAGATGATAGAGAACCTTTTTTTGTTGTTTAGAGTTTGCAGGATTTTTCACACATCAGTTCAGATAATAGGGTTTGCAACCACTCTTGGTTGGGTCTTGCATCTTATGCATGAGCTTCTGTGCTGTAATCATTTTGAAGTGGGCCTGAGACTGGTTAAGGTTTCTGTGCTGTGAAGGAAGCCAAGTTCATGGGCTCCATCTCTGTAGAAGGCAGTTGGCCGTGCTACCAACAAGTGCATCCTCTGGCTCCAGCCAGCTTCTCATAAACATACATCACAGGGAATTGTATTGTTAAGGAAAGACACAAGGGTATTATGGCCAATAATGATGAGCACCAGGACAGAAGCTCACAGATGATCTCAAGTTATATATTCATACTTCTGCTAATAGAGATCTGTTTAACTTAAATTTTAATTTTTTCTACTTAATTATATGTTTTCTACATATAAACTTTTTCATGAAATAAAGATGATCTCAGTACCTTAAACATTTAGGTCCCAAACATTTTATGAGTAATGAAGTAATTATCATTTTATATTTTGCTTCTGTTTTATAAAGTCGATCTTTTCATACAGAAAATATTTATGTTTTATTGAGTGAGCACAAGAACATCTGACTAATTAGACTTCAATGGTGATTTTGTTTTTATTCCTACGTACTTACTATGGGTGGACAACTTTGCAGAAAGGACATCATCCAACTAATAGCAAATTCTGTTGATCCCAATCCAAGATTTCCCTAAAAAACTCAAGAAAATAAGTTGCATTCATGAAGTTCAAGTTATAACCAATAGAGCATTCAATCTCAAATATATTTTTATCCTGATCAATCAAATCTTCAAAGTAAGTATTTGGGAATAGAGCAGCAATAAAAGAGTAAGGTGGTGGTGTTTATGTGCGGTGGAGTCGGTTTCGACTCAGCGTGACCCTGTATAAGCTTTCCAAGGCTGTAAATCTTTACGGGATCAGAAAGCCTCATCTTTCTCCTGCGGAACCGCTGGTAATTTCAAACTGCTGAATTTGAGATTAGCAGTCCAACTTGTAATTTCAAACTGCTGAATTTGAGATTAGCAGTCCAACTACCAGAGCGCCTTAAAATAGTAAGGTAAGCATTATATAAGTTAATTTTGGATACCAGCTCTAATCTAATCATTTTGAGTATATTATTAAATATATTACATATAATCATATTGTTGTTGTTATTAAGTGCCATTGAGTAGGTTCTGACTCAGTGCGACCCTGTATAGGGTTTCCAAGGAGCACCGGATGCATTTGAACTATGACCTTGTGGTTCAAAGCGACCTTTTGGTCCAGTGCGTTACCCCACAGCATCACACCAGGATTTCAAGATTATATTATATACACATATAACATATATGACAATCATGCAAGGTATAATAATAAATATATATTGTACCTGCTGGAAAACAAGAAGTATCTCATATAAAAGTGATGTAGCTGAATCTGTGTATTCCAGGATAAGCTTCTGTAACTAGAATTAAAAAAAAAAAAAATCAATGCAATATCAGAGGCAGCAACCAGAAAATGGTCATTTCTCTTGCTTCCTTTTGCTGTTGTTAAGGACCATTGAGCTGATTCTAACTCCTAGCAACCCTGTTTAAAGTTTGCAAAGAATAGCTGGTGGTTTTGAACCACCAACTTTGCAGTTAGCAGTCCAGTGTTTATCATACAGTACCACACCAGGACTCTTTGCTTCCCTTTAGGTATTTATGAAAGAAGATGTGATTAACTAGAAATATCTGATTAATTGGAAATTAACGTGGACCATTTTCCTGTTCCCTTTGGTTCAGTTATTCTCAAGAAAGTGGCTTTCATTAAAAGGCAAGATATTTAATATTGGTCAAGAAAGTAGGTCAGGGAAAAGAAAAAAACTAACACAGAGAACACTAACAGAATATTACACACCCAATTTGATAAATCAATCAGATAAATATTCATACTTCCTTTAAAAACTGTAGAAATATGCTCTCCAGAATTGAGTAGGGAGAAATATTCCCTTGCTACTCACCTAAGATTCTTTGAGGAAAATTAGACTTTCCCCAAGTTGAACTAAAACCCTTTCTCTAGTATGAGTAATTATAGAGCTTTGAGAATTGTGTTGCTTTCAAGAATTATCCAAACAGTTGATGAAATGATCTTCTGACCCACAGACTACATAGTCTAGTGACATGCAGTAGTCTTCGCAAGACAAGAGCTTTAGTTTGAAACTGACCATTCTATTAGTTCATGGAACCAAAATCTCTATTACCTGCTTGGGGAAGCACTAATATTCCAGGTAAAACAGATCATCAGCATGAAACCTTGACCTCTCTATTCTATCACCCGTACTTGTTTTCATATGATATGCCATAAGCAAATCAAATTGAATAAATGCCAAACAAAGCTTGTTAATGGCCCCCTCTTCTTTCTATAATACTTATTTAACTCCCAGGCCAGATTGTAAAAGTCATCATCTAATCGTCACTATATTTCATGTCTGCATTAACCTGTCAACTCAACTGTCTAAAAATTTCTGGAATCTAACCTTCTTACAACACCTCCATCTCTCTTTTTTTTCCCCTTTATTCATTGATTTATTCAACAAATACGTGTCTGACACTGGGCTAGGTGTTAGAGATACAATGGAGAACAACACATGGAATAGATACTTATGAGATGTCAATCTAATAAACAAATGTATTTGTAGTTACAAACTGAACAATGACTATGAAGGAAAAGCACAAGAAATTAGAAAGCCTCACACAATGAGGCCTCGTCTCATCTGGGGTTCAAGGAAGGCTATTTCTAGTCCATAGCTTCTCTCACTTGGACTACTCTATAAGTTTCTTAACAACTTTGCCTGGCTGACTCTTGCTTCTGTCCCACTCTTTAATCTTTAATCCCTCTGTTCCTCTATAGAAGTATTATCTAGAATTTCCATATACTTACATAGTCTGTAATTATATGCTCATGGGTGCATTTGATTAATGGCTATCTCTCCCACCAGACACAAACTAATGAGGGCAAAGACTATGTTGATTTTGTATACCATTAGTGCCCCACTGTATAACATACTGTTTAGCCTATAATAAATGTTCAATAAATATTTATTGAGTTAGTAGATGTAAGAGAATTCTAAAACATAACTCAAGAACTATCAAATGATATTCCATTCTTTTTTATTTTTAATTCTGTATTACCCAGGCTCAAAGTGAACTAACAAGAAGCTGATTTATTCTCTCAGAATATGTGCTTTCTAGCAGCTTGATATTTCTATTGTTTTGACACAATCTTAGAAAAATAAATATAACTCTCGTCAAGAGTTTGCACTGCTCAGACAGGTTGAGAAATGGATGGCTTCTAAAGGCTAATGAAGGCATAAGAGTTATTCTCAAATCTCAAAGGACGGTGCTTTTTCACCCATAGAACTACTGTCGAATGACATATATACAAGTGATTCTGTAGATAAACAGTATTAAATAATTTATAAAGAATGCAACTATGTTTTTATATACCAAACCAAAACTAGACTCACTGCTGTCAAGTCATTCTGACTCACAGTGTCAATATGAGCCATAGGTTCTGAGGCTATAAATCTTCACTGTGGGAAAGAGTCTCATCTTTCACCTGCTGAGCAGCTGGTGGGTTTGAACTGCCAACCTTGTAGTTAGCAACATTTAACCCACTGTGCTACCTAGGTTCCTTTTAGTATATATTGTTGTCACTGCTAAGTGTCGTCAAGTCGATTCTGACTCATAGCGACACTGTATAGGGTTTCTGAGGAGCAGTTTTAAACGCTGACCTTGTGGTTCAAACCAACCTTGCAGTCCAGTGCTTATCTACAATGTCACATCAGCAGTCCTTAGTGTATATGTTGTTGTTGTTAAATGCTGTTGACTTGGTTCTGACTCATAGTGACCCTGTGTAGGGTTTCCAAGGAGCAGCTGGTGAGTTTGAACTGCTTGACCTTGCAGTTCAAACACTCTTTGCAGTCCAGTGCTTATCCTACAGTGCCACACCAGGATTTCATAGATCACATTTAGTCTACCCCCAAAATTGTCATCTCACCTCAGCATCAAAAGACATTTCAACTAAAGTTGAACTGGCCAACAGCTGGATATCAAAAACAGGAGAAGATTTTGGAATCTGAGGTTCACTAATCAAAATGATCAAAAGATTAAACAGTGCTCCCCTGAAAAATAAATAAAAGGAAATTAATGAGGACATTTAAAAAAGCAGTGAAGTCAACTTTGCAGACATTGACTATGTTGCTGTTGTTGTTAAGTGAATATTGTTGTTTTAAGTGCCGTCGAGTCAGTTCCAAACCATCGTGTCCCTGTATAAGGTTTCCGAGGAGCAGCTGGTGAGCCAGAACCACTGAACTTTTAGTTCAAACTGACTTTGCAGTCCAGCACATTAACCCACAGCACAACATCAAGAGTAAGCCTCAGAGATCATTCTTTTTTTTTGCTGACCTCCTTCTTATTATATAATGTCTTTCTCTTCACTCAAATTATTTTTGAACCCTTGGACATGCAGATGAATGTCTAGTGATACAATGTTTAAGTTAACATATAATTGTTTCTTTTATAGTTCTAAAAGAAGTAAGAATCACATAGCTTGGAAAACTTAGAAAATCTGGATTTAAAGGTCTTTTGTTCTTGTTAAGTGCCATCAAGTTGCTCCCGAATCATAACAGCCCTGTATAGGGTTTCTGAGGAGCAACTGGTGGGTTTGAACCGCCAACCTTGCGACTCAAATTGACCTTGCAGTCCAGTGCATTATCCTGCAGCACCACACTTACAGCAGTATTTTCCAAAGGGCTTTTCATGTGTGACTAATTCCAAGCAATATTATGGCTAAAATGTTTTCCACGGTCAGAGTCCATGAGGAATCTGTACTACAGGACTTGTCAGTGGCTTTAGGAATTTACACTGCACGCATGTCTCCAGGAGAAAGACACAGTATACAGCATTTACTAAAATGCTTATTTGATTCGAAGCTCATTTGACACCAGAGCCATTTTTAACTGGTCATTTCAGGGGCCCATGTTCCACTGAACACCACTAAACCCAAACCTTCTAGTTGACTGCTAACTGATTCTGGCTCATAGAGACCTTACAGGGCAGAGGAAACAGTCTCATCGTTCTCCCTTGGAGCAACTGGTGGGTTTGAACCACCAACCTTGCAGTTAAGCAACCCAATGCCTAACCCACAGCACCACCAGGACTCCTTAAGAACAATATATGTTAAGAATTTACTTAATTAAAAAAACAAACTAGTATTAAACCTTGGGTCTTTGCTTTTAAATGCCATGTTATTGTCTATAAGCTCACACCGATATCAATTTACTCAAATGTTACCATATGTTTGACTAATATATCCTTTTATCTGAAAGGAAAAAACAAATCCCTTCACATGTCAGCCCATATGATTGAAGAGGAGTTGAAGGCAGACCACTAGGAAAATTAGGTACCTAACTAAAGATAACATCAGAATAGCTTTGAGGGGTAGGAATAGTAAAATGATTTACAAATAGGACTGGCAATACAAAAATTCTCAGTAAACATAAGCATTCCTTTCATAATGGCATAAAGGAAGCTATAAACAATCCTTTTTCCATAATATTATCTGAGACTTTCAACTCGTTTTTTCTGAGGCTTTCTACAATTTTTATAACAATTTTAATCATTACAATGGTTAGATTATAAATATTCTAATAAAAATACAATTCTCTTCTTTCTCCAATCCAAAAAGCAAGCCTAGTTCCCAAATCTGGAAAAAAAAGAATCATATTAAAAAAAGCAGGATTTGTCCTACTAAATATTTACTAAGGTTTTATTGAGACTATTTTTAAATGACCAATCTTAACTTTTTAGAAGACCCTTCCAAAACCAACAAGATACTCCATTTAAAAGCTTTTCCTGATATTAAGTATGAATTGACATTCATCCACTGGTACATTTAATTATAGTCCTTTATTTTCAGCAACAACTTCTTTTCAAAACATCATATATTGATGTCTAAGGAAAGAAATTCTTAGATTCTGAATCACTTGCTGTGATAGTATATGAATTTAGCCATGATAACCTAAAATATGAAAGGGTTATGACACATTTCAAGAAGAGTAAAATTAAACAAGTTGAACTAATGAAGTCTCCCCTTATGAAAATAATAAAGAGGAAATCACTTTCCTCCTTTTTTTTTTTAAAATCCACCCCTTTCACCAACTCACTTAATTAAAATCCACAATGTCAACAATAGACAGAAGCAATTTTAATCTAATGGTAGTTTCTTCCTGAAAAGAGATTTCTTATGGAATTGACATAACAGCTTTAAAAATGGTCCCAACAGTTTGATACTTTCATTGCTTGCTGTTGTTAATTGCCATGAAGTTAATTTTTAACTCACGGGGACCCCATGTGACACAGTAGAACGGCCCCATAGGGTTTTCTAGGCTGCATCCTTTAGGAGCAGCTTGCTGGGTCTTTCTTCCACAGAGCCTGCCTTCTGGTTAGCAGGTGAGCATTTACCCATTGTATCAACAGTTGGATACTTTCATTGCTTAGAATGTTATTATTTTCAACATAGGACTTGTGAGTGTGCTACGGTTTCTTTTTTAAAAACAGAATTTGAAGGGCAAACTCACAGTCTCAGAAGTCAATGTGTTAATGGGGTAGGCAGAATTTTAAGATGGTCCCCACGATTCCTGCCTCCTGCTACACAACCCTCCCCTTAAGTATGGACAGGATCTGTAACTGTGATTAAATGAGGTTAGGTGGCAAAGGTGCGGGATTTTTGAAGATGTACTAAAGGCCTCTAATTAGTTGATTTTGAGTTAATCAAAGACACGTTAGTCTTGGTGGGCCTGACTTGGTCGGGTGAGTTCTTTAAAAGAAGCTTTAGGTCTTCCCCGAGTTCAGAGACGTTTTCCTGATATCCTGGTCAAGAAACAAGTTGCCATGACTTCTACAGCTGTGAAGAAGTCAATTCTGCCAATTAATTCCAAACAAGTGAATCTGGAAGAGGAACCTGAGGCCTCATCAGATGAGACTTTAGCCCTGGCCAACACCTGCACTGTAACCTTGTGAAACCTGAAGCTATTTACTGGTGGCCTCCTGGCCCACAGACACTCAGAGATCATAAATGTGTGTTGTTTAAGCCTCTACCAATAAACCTGCTGCCACTGCATCAATTCTGACTCACACATCACAGTAGAACTGTAATTTTTCAATAGGGTTTTCAATGGCTATTTTAAAAAAAGTAAATCACCAAGTTGTTCTTCTGAGGTGCCTCTGGGTGGACTTAAACCTCCAACTATTGGATAACAACTGAGCACATCTAAGTTTGCACCAGTTAATGTGTAAAAAACCCAGGTAATTTGTAACTCAGCAATAAGAACTCAGTTACATTAAATATGCACTGCGCTAGTGCTATGGGTACCATGACTGGACCCTCTCTGCACATCAAAATTTGCTGAGAAATGAATATGACAACCAGACATATGTATTGAAGGACATACCAAAAATCAGTCATATCAGGAAGAAGACTTGAGGTAGTCTGATGTGGTTGAAGCCAAGGAAAATCAACATTTAAATGTAACAGAGGTGAATAAGGAATGTGATTTCTTTTCAAATAGGATACAGAAAATAAGGATCCAAGGGTACCAAGATTTAGCAATAATTTCAGTTTAGGAGAAGACAGAAATATCAGAGATAATCCTGAATCTCCATCTTAAAAATTGAGAAAGTTGTAGTACCATCAACTGCATAAAGAGATTTGTGGATGAAATAGTACAATGCTATGTTTGCCTGTTTGCTATAAAGCAGAGATCAGTAAACCATGACCTGCAGCCAAATCCAGCTCACAGCTTTTTTTGTAAATATGTTTTACTAGAACACAGCTGTGCTCATTCATTTACACATTGTCTGTGGTTGCTTTTGTGCTAAATAACAGAGTAACTGTAAGAGAGACTATGTGGTCCACAAAACTAAAAATATTTACTATAAGTGTATGTAAAAAGAGCATTACTAATAGATTGGCAGTTCATACACACATTTGGGATCTCAGAGAGGTCATAGATTTTCTCAAAAATCACAGGATGGCGATCACTGGGGCTTATTAGTAAGCAGTTTTAAGAAAAGTACACACTGCGTTGGTGATAAAAAGGCTAGAAAAGGTGCACTGAGGTGTGTTTTTGTTGTTGTTGTTGTTGTTATTTTTTCCCCATCATGATAACGCTCTTGCTCGTTCTTTAAGGATAGCAAGGATTGTCCTATGAGAATTTCATTGGGAAAACTTACTCCATCCATCCTACAACTGTGATCTTGCCCCTTCAGATTTCTCTTTATTCCCCAAACTCAAACAACATTTCAAAGGAACATGATATGAGTCCCTTGAGGATGCCAATAGCACAGAATCTTCAGGGACAGATTAGAGAGATGGAAACACTGCCTTCAGAAGTACATAAACCTAGATGGAGGAGATGTCAAGAAGCAATAGCTTCACATCTTGATATTTTTTAATAAAGGTTTCCATGATTTTATTTTTACTTATCCTCATATACATACCTTTACAGAAATGTTTGCCCATCCATGCTATAAGGCATATTATGTTCATAGTCTTCAGTACATAGCAAGTTTCTTAAGAAATATTCATGAATATTATTAATATTTGTTTTTAAAGTCTTTGTTGTTGTTGTTAAGTGGCATCCAGTCGGTACTGACTCATAGAGACCCTATGTACAACAGAACGAAACATTGCCCGGTTCTGAGGCAACCTCACAATTGTTAACACGCTTGAGCCCACTGATGCTGCCACTTGGCCAATCCATCTCACTGGGGATCTTCCTCTTTTTTCTGACCCTCCACCTTACCAAACATGATATCCGTCTCTAGCGACTGGTCCATCCTGAAAATATGTCTGAAGTATGAGAGACGAAGTTTGGCCGGCTGCACTTCTTCCAAAACAGATCTGTTGGTTCTTTTGGCAGCCCATGGCACTTTAAATATTCTACAACACCAAAACTCAAAATCATCACTTATTCTATGGTCTTCCTTATTCACTGTCCAGCTTTCGCATGCATATGAGGTTATTGAAAATACCATAGTTTGGGTCAGGCACACCTTAGTCCTCAAGCTGATATCTTTGCTCTTCAGCACTTTAAAAAGGTCTTGTGCAGCAGTTTTGCCTAATGCAATATGTCATCTGATTTCTTGACTACTGCTTTCATGAGTGTTGATAATTGATCCAAGAAGAATGAAGTACTTACAACTTCAATCTTTTCTCTGTTGATGAGAATGTTATTTCTTCGTTCAGTGGTGAAGATTTTTGTTTTCTTTATATTAAGATGCAACCCATACCAAAGGCTGTGCTCTTTGATCTTCATCAGTAAATACTTTAAGTCCTCTTCACTTTCAGAAGGCAAGGTTGTATCATCTGCATATCGCAGCTTCTTAATGTGTCTTCCCCCAATCCTGATGCATTTTCTTCATATAACCCAGCTTCTTGGATTATTTGCTCAGCATACAGGTTGAATAAGTATGGTGAAAGAATACAACCCTGTAGTACACCTTTCTTACTTTTATACAATTCAGTGTTCCTATGTTCTGTTCGAACAACTACCTCTTGGTCCAGATACAGATTCCTCATGAGCACAATTAAGTGTTCCAGAATACTCATACTTCCAATGTTGTCCATAGCTTGTCATGGAAATCCTTTGTGTCATCGAAAGCCTTTGTGTAGTCAATTAAGCATAGGTAAACAAACATCTTTCTGGTATTCTCTGATTTCAGCCAAGATCCAATGGACATTAGTGATGATATCCCTCATTCCACGGCCTCTTCTGAATCCAGCTTGAACCTCTGGAAGTTTTATGTCAATATATGCTTGCAGCCCTTTCTGTATTACCTTCAGTAAAACTTTACTCGCATGGGATATCAAAGAGATTGTCCAATGATTTCCGCATTCCATTGGGTCACCTGTCTTTGGAATGGGCATAAATATGGATCTTTTCCAATCAGTTGGCCAATTAGTTGTCTTCCAAATTTCTTGACATAGATGAATGTGTACCTCCAGTGTCGCCTCACTTTCTTGAGAGATTTCAAATTTTATTCCATCAATTCCTAGTGCCTTGTTCTTTGTCAATTCCTTCAATGCATCTAAGACTTCCTCCTTCAGTATCATTGGCTCTTGATCATATGCTATCCCTTGAAACGGTTGAACATCAACCGTTTTCTTTTAGTACAGTGACTCTGCATATTCCTCCATCTTCTTTTGATGCTTTCTGCATCATTCAATAATTTGCCCAGAGAATACTTCAATAACGAACATTGAGGCTTGAATTTTTTCTTCAGTTCCCCCAGCTTGAGAAATGCTGAGTGTGTTCTTCCTTTTTGGTTTTCTGACTCCAGATCTTTGCACATTTTTTGTAATATTTGGCTTTATCTTCTCAAGCTGATCTTTGAAATTTTCTGTTCAGCTCTTGTACCTCCTCATTTCTCCCATTTGCTTTAGCATCTCTACGCTGGAGAGCAAGTTTCAGTATCTCTTCTGACATCCATTTTGACCTTTTCCTTCTTTCTTGTCTTCTTAATGACTTTTTGCTTTCTTGCTCTATGATGTTCTTGATGTCATCCCATA